CTTGTCACTATATTGTTAATTTAGCAATTTTTTAATAGCTCAAAAAATAAGTTTTGTCTTAAATATATTACAATGTAGTTGAAATGATAATAGACAAAAAATAAAAGTTAATATTTTCCAACACTGAAAATATATTTCTGATAGATACCTCCTCTTACAGTTACAGCGATTCTCGATTTGAGTGCCCTCTAGTTCACAAAGTTTTGCTTGCCACTAGCCTTGAACTTCCCCATAATTCCATGTGATTCAGCTCTGGTTAAGCATGCAAATTAGCATGTGACAACCCTCTACAAATAGGAGTGTGACACACCCTCCTATTGCAGCTGACTCCTTCTATGTAGTTGAACCCAATATTCACTTTGAGATTACACATGAAAACAACACCAGAATTGGGGAGGACAGGTGGGAAATGTGAGAAGAAGTATGTATCTATCAGAAATATACTTTCAATGGAGGAAAACATTAACTTCCGATATGATCACTTAACTCCCCTCACAGTTACAGTTAGAATCCCACATTGGGCAGGTGGAGGGAATGGTGTAAAATTACCTAAATGAGCACCCTTCAAAAGCATCTGAAGAGCCCCCATGGAGTGTGCCACCTCTATGTAGTGGAAACAAACCCATGGGAGACAGCACCACATCTGAACCAGGTATACTCTTTGCCCAAGTGGAGCTAACTGGTGTTTTGTCACAATCAAAGGGCAGAACAAGTGATCCATCCCAAATCCAAAAGGAAGAGGAATGTATGTAGAGTGGCTATGGCACATCAGACCATAATCGGGAGGTCAACTCCAGTCCAGACCAGTGACTTTATGAGGAACTTGACCAGCCCCTGGCAGGAGGAGGTTCCTCAACCATTCACCTCAGGTGTAGGAACCAGAACTGATGAGGAGCCTCAATTCTGAGAACCTAGACTAACAAGTGTGTAAATAAAACAACCTGGAACAATAAACCCCAGGAATGCACATCTGGATGACATTAGGAAGGTGGAAGTGCAACATGGAGGGTCAACATTGAGAATGTAACATCCAGTCTGTGGCAGGAGCATATTCTCAGCCCACTCACATGTGAGAACTTTTATTGGCTGGTCCAGCTCCAACCAAAACCAGTTCTTCTGGAACAGACATCCAGGTGGTGGTAGGAGGGAGGGTTCCCAACCAGAAGGGGAAGCTGCAAAATAGATATAAAAATTCAGTTCTGACCAGTGGCATCTGAAATAAAACGGCAAACCCATGGCACAAGGATAGTCACACCTTCTACACAAACAGAACGCCACCACCCTGCTCTTGACTGAGTGGAATTGTGCACACTCAGGAGAATTTCTCCATGATCGACCACCCCAGCAGCTAGGAACTGGAATGTGGTAAGGGCTCCTGTACTCCACCAAAAGAAAGGGTGAAGAAACACTTTGGAGAGTCCAGAGGAATGCTTCACCAGAGAAAGTGCAATGGGTGACCACAAAACCCAGTTCTGAAAAGCAGACTATTCCTGCTTCTGGAAATTGAAGGGACATTACAGATGGGCAGCAATCTCTTTCTGCTTTACTAATGTTAGTCCATGAGTATAAGGTCAGGTACGAAGATATTTATGACACAATATACCGTGAGAAAGAATCTGCAAGCAGTCTTGTGGAACACCCCATATCAACAGTGAGCATGATAGACCTTATAGATCTCCCAGTGCAGATTTTAGATATCAGTATACCTGGACAGGCACCACTCGTCACAGAGTGGTATCCATAACATGTTAAGTAGGCCCCTGGAAAAAAATAACTCAGAGTTGTATCAATATATGGAGAATGGCTGCAGGGTGAAGACTATATCCAGCTGAGCAGGAAACCACCAGATGGTGCAAGTAATGAGACACCAAGGAGTGAGAAGTGGTCCACATGCCGGCCTGGATAGTCTCCTCCAAAGGACAACAGAAATGAGCAGCCAAGGACAATGGGAGGTAGCGGATCAGATGGGATGATACACAGAACAATTGGCAATAACCAGGATAAAGGGAAGAATATGCAATACAGATAACCTGACAAACCCAACTGGTAATGGTGAAAGGAGAAATATAACGAGAAATAGATAGATTCCAATAGATAAACAAACAAGAGCAAGAACCACAGAAGGGTGCTGTGCATGATACATAACAATGTAAAGCACAGACTGGTAGTAAACATGAGACATGGAGGGAAGGCAAATAACTGGAGAAGAAAACACATGCCAAATGAAGGGAGATGACAGGTCTGCCCAACACCCTGCAATGATTGAAAAGGACAGACTCTTGTATAATGACCAAGCAAAAACAAATATTAGAGAAACAGAATGAGAGAAAAGAGAGAATCCATGGAGGATAGACTAATGAAGGAATATTTTCCACTTACGTTGATACATAGACACAGATGAGAAACAGACAGTGTAAGACAACAGGGATGCTACATGTGTGGATAGTCCCAAACCCCTAGCAAAAAACTGGACAAAAGCTATGCATGAAACCAGAGTGTAGGAATGGAAGGATGAAGCATCCCTGAGTGAGGTTGCTGAAGGAAGGTCTGGGAGAGATAATGGAAGTTGTTCCTGGAAAAGGTACAGGAATGGAAATCATGGTTGAACCAGCCAGAAAGGAGCCACAAGAAGGACCCAACATAGAGTGGATTGGATAAGAAAAATCAATTGGAGTAGAAGATGGATGCTAGGGTATACATAAAGGAAAGATCCTTCCATTTCTGCTGAATGCATCCAAAGCCAAAGGATACGAAAGAGAGGAAGCTTGGCATTCAAATGAGCGGCAAATGCACCCAGTTGGGGCCATTGGAATACCTGGGGGTCAAGAAACCACTTCATGGGAAGAATCTTGTCAGGACAGATGATTTTGACAAGATTGAGGGAACCCAGTATGTAGCAGGCCAACAAACGAATTTGATGGCTGTGAGCCCAGAAGAAGAGATCTAGAGTACAGAAACATAAGGACCAGATCAAGTGCCCCATTGACTGGTGATGTAAGAGATGACCATCGAATTTATCAAATAAATCAGAACTGTCATGCCCCACAGAGTTGACAGAAAATGAACTATCACCCAATAAACAGCAAGGAGTACCAAAAACTGATGTAAAGACCTAACTCCTCCTGAGACGAATGGCCCAAGATCTCCTGTGTAATGCAGCATTCACCCCATCCTGACAATGAGGCATCTGTGAAGACATGGCTATCCAGATGGGTAGAAGAAATAGGTAAACCCCCACTCTCATGTTGCCCTGTCTAATCACCAGAGGAAGTAAGACTCAAGGAAAGCAAGAAGGGATATTTATAAATCCAGAGGGTCCCTGATGAGGTGCCAGTGATACCAAAGTCCCCAAAAGAGACAGAACCTCTTGAGCAGGGAGATAGTGTCCTCTAAACTACAAACTTTATGGATTGCACACAAAAAAGGAAAAGGTTGGACTCGACTGAGATGCAAGATGAAAATTACCTCCAGAACAAGATATTGAGTTGGATGGATAATGGACTTCTCCACCTAGATAAACCAATTTAACCAATCAGCTTCTCTGAGGAGAAGTTGGTTATGTGAGGAACACATTCCAGGATAGAGAAAGAAGGAGCCAGTCATCTACAGATGAAAATTAAGCCTGCAAAAATGAAAAAATTGGGCAACTGACTGAACCACTCAACAGAAAGTATGGGGTGCTAATGCCAGACCAAAAGGAAAAGCTCAGAACTGATAAACATAATCCTCATGTACAAAACAGAGAAAAAGACGTGAAGCCCAAGCAATAGGGTTGTCAAATCTCGTCATCCAAAGCCTTGGAAGGAAAGCCCACCTGAGAGACAAATAGGATTCCATGGTGAAACGAGGCACATTGAGGGCAATTCAGATGGGAGAGATCAAGATTGATCACAGGATGCCAATCCCTGCTCTTCTTGGGGATGACAACAAGTCGGGAAAAGGACCCTGAAAGAACAGGAGAAAACTGTCCAATGGTGCCCTTGATGAGAAGGACTTGAATTGTTTTTGTGAGATGCTGGTGGGAAACGAGATCTGCAGGGGGGGACTGGGACACAGGATAAGGCAGGAGGTGTGACAAAAAGGAAGAGTCCTTCTGACAAAACTTGAATGACCCAAGGGTCATTGGTAAAAGTCTCCCACACTTGAGAAATGAGTGAGCCTAGCTCCCATAGGACCTGAATCCATATGGTAGCCACCGGTAATGCTGAAATTGTACAGAGCATCGGTGAACAATGGTACGACATACAGATGTGCTGGGAAGGAGGAACCGGTAAAGGAGAGGAAGGAGAAGGACAGAAAATGGGAACAGGAGAAAAAGGACATTGGGAAGAAAGGGATGTGGGCAATCTAGCAGATTCAACACGAGACTTCAAAGTGTCTGGAAGCCCATCACAGATCTCAGAAAAGGGTCTGATCAAAAATTTTGCAAGGAAGTCTTGGGGAGATGCACGTATTAGGTAGGAGTTCAAGGCTAGTGGTGTGTGAAAATTTGTGCACTTGAGAGCAGTCAAATCAAGAATAGCTATAACTGTGAGAAGACGTAAGTAATCATATTGAAAAATAAATGTCTTCATCCCTTAGGAGTTAAAGTATTACCTCAATCCTTATAATTTTGCATTGCATAAGTACCACGTATTCCTTGTGTAAAAATCTTAATATCAGTTATGATTCCTGTATTTAATATTTTGAACAAAAAGAAAAAGTGAAAAAAAAAGGTCCTTGAGACTGTATACTTTCACAGTACGCATTAAATGGCAATAATGAACCATAGTTAAATGTTGTATCTTACTGTTGTAAGAGCACTGTAGCCTTTCTATATATGGGAATATATGTACCATTTATTATTGAGGTGGATATTTCATGTGAAAGTATAGTATTTCCAAAGTCTTTGCAAAATAAGCAACACACACATATATAAATTAAGAAACAAACATACTCACTTTTAAGAAGATCAGTCGAAGTCTGTCTGGGTCAGCTCTTTTTACAATGGAGACAACACCCTGTTAATAAAAATCCAACGTTTTCATAATAAGGACAAATAATTTTAAAAATTCCAAAAATGTAAAACAGTAATTCTCTAGTTAGAATTGTCACATAATGTTAGTTAATATGGCTAATGCTCTACAGCCAAAATTAGTTTAAAACATTCACAGCATCTCTTCATTGTATACTCCACACACCTTTACCACTTTCATAAGATTAATGGTAAACAATGTCTAACTGAAGATGATTTTTTCAATTGTTTTTTTTTTGTTTTTTTATTGAGTTTTCTTACAAGTTTATTTATTTTATTAAAGTTTTGAACCTTACACAGGTAAGGGTCATGTACAGGATAACAATGAGTCTACACAATATATATATTGTCATTCAATACAATATTGAGCAATGCTTTAAGATAACAAAACCTCTTTTAGGCAAGAAATTAAAAAGTTGAACCAAACAAAAAAATTAGTCTAAAAAGTGGTTGAAAAAAATTAGTTAAAGACAATCCAAACCTCATAAATAATAAAACAACATAACATTTTTTTAAAAATCTACTTGCAGAGTAAATATTCATTGAAAAAAACGTCTTTTAAAATGATCATTAACTCTTTTTCATGTTAAAAAAATGTCACCAATCTATATACAAGCCTAATATTATGAAACATTTTAGCAATGAGTTGTGTCACATAAATCATCCATATGAAGACAAAAATTAAGTTTTTGAAGAAGCTACATTTCAATATTTTATAATTAACATGATTTTATACACAATTTCTTAAGTAAATAAAGTAGTTAAGTGTATTACTATAAATACTAAAAGCATATTTTATAGCATTTAAAATGAATAATTACAAACTATTTTATTATGAATTGTTAGCTTATACAATTTGATGACAAACATAATTTGTAATTACTAACAAATTCTGAACTTTATATATAAAACATTATTTCTCAAATAATAACTTCTGAAAGTAAAATTACCTTTTGGTAAATGAGAATATTTTACAGGTAATTAATATACAGTTACTTTTATGGAAAGATTAGTTAATTAGATGGAAGAAAGCAAAAGGTTGTTATTAGTGGTTTGTTTGATGAATTTTCAGCAAATTTACTCAAAAGCTGGATCCACAAGACATCCATGTTAATAAACATACTGATTACAAGTCAAAATAGATAATTATATTTCTATACAAGTTGCAAGTTAGGCCTCAGTTGGAATACCTTGTACATTTTTGGTCTTTTTATTTAAGAAAAAATGCTGATTTATTGGAAGCTATTTAGAAGTAGGCTTACTAGGGATGATTTTGGGGCCAGAATGGTTATCTTTAATATAAGAATAGGTTAAAATATTTTAATTTAAGAAACGATTACCCAGGTGGATTAATAAGAAACACATTTTGTGTTTTATTCTGAAGACCAAAGGACATATGTTTAAGATTTGGAAAAAGACTGGCTAGGCTTCAGTTAAAACAGTTTTATTTTTCTAACAGTAATAGCACAGTTAGAAATATAGAATGAATTTCTGTTAGTATTAAAAGAGTTTGAATTTTTACTTTTCTTAGGAGTGGCTGTGCAAAGACAGCCTTGAGGGATTATTTGAAATTTGTGTATAAATTCACATCCTTTCACAAAAACTTCCTACATATATTCTTCCATAAATAATATGCAATTATTTAAAAACAAAAACAAGTAAACTTAACTAACCTATCCTTATAATACCAATATAGTCTCAAATGAAAGCTTCTCCAAGTAACATTTCACTTACATATGATTTGTCATTATCAATTACTTAAGTACAAATATAAAACAAGTGTAAACATATTCATCTACTACCTTCTTTCACTGTCTCACTAGATAATTTTGTATTCATAAATAAACATATACACAGTGCATGAGTACATTTCTGAACAAGACCTTTGCCTAATGGCTTTAAACTTCCACTATTAGATTTAAATTCATACTAATAAAACAAACCATCAAAACCACTTCTTTTAAGGTGCATTTAAGTGGTTTAGCATAAATATTTTGAGATGGCTAAGTTTTGAGATAGGAATAGCTAGGTTTTTACATGCAAGGAATACATCAGCTAACAATGACTTTCAGGAAGTTAGAAAAAGTACTATTAGAGTAAAAAGTAGTGAATTTAGTTATAATAAACCTATTCTGTTGAGCAACAAATTTCAGCCCTTGGCTTCTGCAGATAAGGAACTATTGGAGGGAAGGAAAACAAAAGGGTCAAAAAAGGATATGGGTGATAAGAAGGTTGTATTTATAGGTGATTCCTCGATAAGGCATGTGGATAGAATAGTCTGTGGGGCAAATAGGGTGAAAAGAATCAGATTATGCTACCCAGGGGCACAGGTGGAGGATATAACTGACAGCGCACTAGATATAATAAACAAGGCTAGCAGAGATGCAGTTTTTGTAGTGCATGTATGGGCTAATGATGTAGGGAAAGGCAGGTCAGATGAGCTAATTAATAAGTACAAGGGGTTGATAAAGGCATTTAAAGAAAAGTGCTATAACTTAATTTTGTCAGGGATACTGCCCAGAATTAACTGGGGGATGAAGTTATTAATAGGTTACTAGGGCTAAATGCTAGGCTTAGGTTAGTATGTAAGGGTGAGCAGGTTGGCTAGTTGGACTTGTGGGATCAGTTCAGTGGA